GTCGGACACCGACACTCTCAGACACATATTTGATACTCTTTTTTACGTGTCCTTAATTGAAATTAAAAATATTAATTTCGAACACATGTTCGACACACATTTTACAACGTGTCCGTCACTTTTTGGCCATGTCTATCACTAAAAATATAAACATGAGATCAACACTTTGACATTTGCTAACGCATGATTTTCAAAATTTGAGAATTTGACATACATATTTTATATTCTTAAAAACAACGTATGATTCTTAATAATAATGAAATGTATAATTCTTTAAAATATATATATAAATAGATTACTTAAGAGGATAAGGGAAATGTTGCAATTATATATGTTTCCTATATTTTGTCTAGTTTTTAACTACTATAGTTCAAACTGGTAGTCTAAAAATTCATGTAAGAGAATTAGATATAAGATTTACTTAGTATAAAGTAATTATTTAATTTGTATATATTATGCACATATATAACTATATAATATAATATATTCTTAAATAATATTATATCAAAATATAATTATTTGTGCCATGTCCGAGCTGCTTCGGTGTCTTACTTTTTTGGAATTTTCTATGATGATGTATCCGTGTCATATCTGTGTCCCGTGTCCCTGTCTATGCTTCACAGCAGGCATCCGAGCAAAACCGAGTTACTAATCCAAGGTTGGTTCCTAAGAAATTATTGATGAAAAAAATAATTCTAAGTTTTGAATCTTATATTCATTATTAGTTTGAGCTATGTGAAAAAAGAAAATAAATCATTGTGATCTCTCATTTGAGTGAAAAAGAGATAAGAAATGACGGTATTTTCTCACAAATCATCATGCTTGAACAAGCAAATTCTCTTTATTTCCATTTCTCATAATTTCTTATTCAATTTGTAAACCAAATACGAGCTCTTTTTCATAATTTTTATTATATCTCATCAATCACTCAAATCCACATAGAAAACCATCAACCCAAATCAAATAAACTCATCATTTCTCTGCTTAAACCCTTCATTCTTAGTAAACAACTAAAAAATAAATAGTATTGACTCATTCATTCAATTTCGAATTCGATTCTTCACAATTATCACCAAACAAAGATAAACAAAATAAAACTTTGTAGATGCAGAACTTCAAAATTAAAACCACTGAACCCATAAATTAACCAAACAAAGTTCGAACCTTTCTTTCTTTCCCGACTGGACGACGACCCGGGAACAAAATCCTCCAACGCATACCCATCTCCGGCGGCGCCGCCGTGGTCTGGCGTGTCTCCGGGAGAGTCATGGTTTTTTCCGGCGAGGCCATTTTGAAGGTTACCGCTACTGGATCCGGTGTAATGGGTCAAGTTACCCATACTGGCACTCTTCCGGATCGATCCATCAGTCAACCGGACTCCGAATAGCTTGACTCCAGGGTTCGGGCAGGTCCGAGAGTTGTGGCCATTGTGGCTGCAATACGAACACCGCCGAGTCATGATCCCTCTCTCGCTCTCTCGGGTCTCCAAATCGAATCCACCAAAACCCAGCTTCGAATTCGGATTAATTACATGATCCGAGGCGATTAGGGTTTTGAGAAAATTGGTTGTGGTGGAATTCGAGTTAGGAAAAATGCTTCGACCCCTACTGAGGGGAGGTGCTGTGATTGGATGAAAAAAAAAAAATATTTTATTTATTTATTTATTTTTTTTTGAGTTTCGGCTAGTGGGGGCTCGCCACCTCACTGGGGTGCGACCCCACTGGGGGTATGCAACACTGCTGAAAATTGTATACAAAATTCTACAATTCTCCGCTACATGGTTATAAGAAAATCTAGAAAGTTCTATTAACCTCTAGGATCTTTTAAGTTCCAGTCTTTAGAACATAATTTCAATTTGTGACACAAGGCACCAACATAACATAAAATACATTGCGAAAAAGCAACCAAAGTGCAGGACCAAACGAGACACAGAACATGTACCAACTACAAGTAAACACTGCCAACGAAAGGCTGAATTTATAGGATAATTACAGCTCAGAACACCCAAAACTACAGCCATATATCTACATTTTCAGGAATAAAAAATTGAATCTACAAAACAAAACCCCCAAAAAAAAAAAAGAAAAAAAAAAACAAAAAGCAGAAAGCTGGCCGGCCAGCTAAGGTGGCCGGCCCGCCACTCCCCCTGGTCGGTCGACCAGGGGTCAAAAGGGTCAATGAGAAATGCTAGCCGGCCACCCCAGAAAGGTGGCCTCCC